AAAATCTCTTAATTTAAATGAAAACACCCTTATATTAAACCTTCACTAATACTTGCGTTATCGATGATGTGATTCAATTAATATAGATGAAGAACATGTAAATAGATTATTTTTAAACTTAAAAAATGAAATAAAAGATTGGTAAAAATCATATTTTATTAAAAAAAATTTTTTTCCTATATAATTATTAAAACAACTATTAAAATAATTTACAATTTTAAAGGAAAATACCTTTATAACAAAGCCTCATGAGTATTAACATTATCGCGATGCGTTGGTAATTAACTGCCCTTCTTTCTTTATTGTATGTTTAATTGCATGATCTTTTTTAAAGGTGTAATAAAAAAAAAAAGTAAAAAAGATATCTCCTGACAAGGTAAAATTACTAAGCAAAATAAGTCGCATATAACAAAACCTCATGAGTATTAACATTATCGCGATGCGTTGGTAATTAACTGCCATTCTTTCTTTATTTTATAACGAATTATAAAGTTTATTTAAAATTTATTATTTAAAAATTTTTTGTGTCAATTGAAAACGTGACTTTACATATATGAATTCATTTTAAAATTAAGAAGTTACACAATATAATTTCAAGATCGTCACTATGTGACAAATGTGATAAAGAGAAATTCCACTATGCTCTAAAAAACTGATTTTTGAAAATAAAGATCTGCATTTCAAGGAATTTACATCTCAATATATACAAAGTGGGTATGATTTCTCATCCAAAAATATTTTAAGCAAATAGTTGTATATATACTGGTGACATTAACACAAAATTGATTTTTTCATGCTATGGTATTTTTCTATTGAAAGGCTCCCATAATTTCAACACACTTTTAACATTAAATATTAATATTAAAATATTCAATTTGTCTATAGTTGGCTTGGTTTAAAGACCTCCTAAATTTTGGGCAAATTTTAAAAGTATAGAAGTCATTTTCTGTTCTACCTTTTAAAAAAATAGCTCTATTAATTGATAGAATGTGTCTTTAGTTTTAATGTAATAGAAAGATTTTCTCAAAAAATTTAATTTTTTTATAGGGTTCTATTCTTTTTTAAAACATGCACTTTATTATGCTCATGAGAAATTTGAGCACTAGGGTCATTGCTAAATTTAGGCATGTTTTTGATCATCATTACTAAATTAGACTAATACTCGACCATCATAACTAAATTTGGCGGTAAGGAAAATAATTTTTTAACCAAACTCACCTGAAGCCATTTTTTAAAAAATTTTATTGCGTTTTAACAAATCACGAAATCGCGATTTTTGAAATTTGAGCGCATGGCGCAGCAATAAGAGGTCATTAGACCGAGCCAACCATATATAGATAATAATAATCTCAAGTGACACAAACTTGATTTTTTTTTTGTAAATTATGAGGAAATGTAAGTAGGTTTATTTATTTATGATTTATATTATTAATTACATGATGAACCATTAGAGCACCCAGCTCATTTTGAATGTAAATTTTAACATGATATAAAATTTATACTGATAATTTGTTAGATTATTTACATATATATTTTTGTTGCAAAATTCAAATACTAACACAATTTATTGTATTAATTCAAGAAATTATAGTAATTATATCTTATACATTACCAACATGGTGAAGAATACAAAGAATTGTTTAAAGAAACAATGGCAATAACTTCAGAGAGTAAGATATATTTGATAAGTATAGCTTCCTTATCCTTTTAACATGTGAAATATACATATAGCTTAATCAGTCTATTTTTTCTAATGAAATATATATTTATTATTTCAAGAAATAAAAGCAAACAAAATAAAAAAACTAAAGTTTTTTCATATAGTAAATTGGTGGCTATTAAATTTCGAGAGATTTCTCTTGGGATGAAATCATGAATTATTTATTGATTTTTAAAAATTAATTTGAATTATTGAAACATTCATTTTTAATTGTTAATAATAATAATAATAATAAAATAACATTTAAACATTAGAAATAAATCAATAAATAAATCAAAAATAATTTACTGATCTAAAATAAAATAAAATAAATTTAATATGGAGGCAATCCATATTTGCTTGGATCAAATAATTCCAGGGAATCAAGTTTTTCTGTTTCTCCATAGTTTTCAGGATACAACTCAACTAAATGAGGATCAGGAACCCAAACAACCTTAATAATAATAATGATAATATTAATAGCCATTTATATATAATATATGAATGTATAAATAACAACTTACATGCATCCCTGCATTTAAAGCAGCTTTAACACCATTGATAGCATCTTCAAATACTAAACAATTTTCTACAGGTGGATTGCCTAATCGTTCACATGCTAATAAGAATAAATCAGGTGATGGTTTACCATGCTTTATTAATGGATCATCACCACAAGTTATGCTATCAAACAATGAAAACAATTCTTGATTATTTTTAGCTTTTATTTCAAAATTGTACTTATGAGAACTTGTTGCTACCACGATTGGTATATTATTGCTTTTTAAATGTTTTACAAGCCTCTATTAGAAAAATTAAGAATAATGAAACAAATTAACAAATTATTTATTTATTATTATTATAAAATATTCATTAATATTTATTACCATGACTCCTGGTAATGGTTTTGCAGATGGAAATTTTTCAATCTTTTTTTTGAAAATAATATAAATTAAAAAAAAGTTTTATAAATTTATTTCAGATTATTCATAAAGACCTGTTTTTGGTTTCGTTCTTTCAAGAAATCTTCTATACTCATATCAATCCCAGTTTCTTTGATTATTAATGAAACTGCCTTTATATAAAAATATAAAAAAAAATTTTCATGACTAATGAATAATTATGATTTTTTTCTCTTATTAAATAATTATATTCAAATTGAATTACATCATATTCTTTAAGACCCATTATTTGTGATTTAAGTTTCCAAGTATAAGGTTGATTGTAACGAGAAAGCATTTCAGCTTTAATAAAATAAAATAAATTCATTGAACTTAATAAAAAATAAATAAACTGAATTTGATAAAATCAAAATTTAATCCTACTTGCAACTTCACTATAGATACGTTCTGTATCCTATATCATTTATTCATTACAAGAAGAAAAAAAACTAATTAGTATTGTTTATTTTAAAATAAAAAGTAGCACTTGTGTATAATTGTACATATTTGCGAGAGAGAATTACAAATCACTTACTAACAACAATCCTTTCAGATAAAAATTATATTAAAAATAAAAAACTAATTTATACAATTTATATATCTATATTTTATAAACATATATATTATAATACCAACCATCCATGTCAAATATACAATGTGTAATTTTAACCATTTTATTTTTATTAAAAATTTTTAAAAATTTAAAATTTTTTTACATCTCGATCCATGTACTACATTGTTTATTATAAGGTGTCAATGAATGAAATTAATGGCAAAGCCGTAAATCGAATGCCACAATAATAATAATGTTACATCTTTATCCTAAAACGTATTCGAGAAATATGCTAATATTACTTATTAGTAAGTATATAAAGGAACGAAGAAACGATAAGTTAATTACACCAGTGCCCGCCCATGAACCATACAAGAAAAAATATGCTGACTACAATTGGTGCCTGTGAGCCATACAAAAAAGAATTTATAACAGATTTATGCAAATTATCTGCATATTCCCCTGTTTTTATCAATAATCTGTGTGTTAAGTTACAAAAGTACACGACGGTTCAAATAATTTTTTTGATAGATTACCATCCTAAAATGTCAAACAACCCATTGAACCAATAAGGTGCTGATTGTTGTGAAACTTGTCTTTAGATTTCCAATATGGAATTTCCACCAAACTCCAACTCATCAACAAATTGTTTTTATCTTACGGCTCTCTCTATAACGACCCTTCCTATATAAAGACACCAAGTAAAATCGCGTTATAACGTACTTCTCGTTACATTTTTTGTTAAAAATTTTGTGATTCAACACAAAAAACTTTAACAGCTTTCTTTAATCTCATGCTTCCCAAAAAATTGTGTTTTAATATTAAATGCTAAATGTTAAGTTTAATATTTATTGATAAATATTTAATGTTAGGTATTTCTATAAAATTTGTAAAACGGACAGTAATATTAAAATCCTTTTTTGTAACATTTTAATTAAAAGAATTAGTTACTTGAAGTGGATAATTTGCTACACATTAATTTAAGTTTCTTTTTAATGTAGAAATGAATTTCGATTCTAAGAAGACCTTAGAATCATTGAATGATGAAAAAAATCATAATATTTTTCATTATCAATCAGTTTATTGCTATTACTAAAGCAGCGTCTATAGGCGATGATTGTTTTCGGGGAGATAGTTTGCTTGATACCTTGTTATCATTACTTTTACCATTATTTGCATATCTTTCTTTCTCCAAGGATTTAAAGACCACATGCTTCGCATTAGTTGCGAGGTTTGTTGCAAGGTTTTTCATACGTTCATACACAACATTCATAGTAATTTACTCTTTTTTGGCTCTTGAAAGCATTATCGAGTCTAATGCTGAATGAACGATAGCATTTATATGCTACAGCGTTGTAAATTTCATAGCAGGGATAACAGAGTTAATAAGTATGGAAACCTATTTTAAACCAAAGAAAATTGAAATTAAGCCTGAAACAGTAGCAGAAGATTTGGAGAAAGGAAATAAAGGAACTGGAATTAATCATGAAAAAGATTTAGAAAAATCAAGGAAAAAAGATCAAAGAGAATGATAGTAATATTAATAGTGATAGGTATGAATTTAAAAAACCTTGATTTTCTATTTACATTTATAAATAAAATTAACATTTTTTTATTTTAGTAACAAGTGGATCAAGTGGATAGACTTTTTATTTGTTTTTTCAGCTCTCGTATATGTATTTCTCAAATTATGTTTAGTTTTAGCTTTTTTAGGTAGAAATCATGATAGAGTCACAACTGAGATGTTATCATGGATCATAATTATTTCAATAGTATCATTAATCGGTTCATTAGGTGCAGTTAAGTATGGTCTTGAAATGAAAGGAAAAAATAATTTGAAAGGAATTTTGCAAAAATTTAAATGTAAGAAGAATAAGGACAATCAAGATAAACGAGATAATTACATCTGGGTTTTGTACAGTATTTTTATCTCTCTATTGGTTTCTTCACATATTTTGCTTTATTTAGAAATCGTCTTCTGGTTTTGATTTGAATAGTTATTTAAGTAAATTATTGTGGAATGCATTAGCATTAGATTTTACGATAACAAGTTTGATTTTTTTTGCAACAACACCACCAGAAGTAGTGGCAGTAAATCAACATTAAAAATTGACATTAATAACAATTTGAAAAGTGTTCAGCTTTCTTTTCGAAAAAAATTGTTTTTGTTCACATGAACTTTTTTCATTTATAATCACAAACTAAAGCAGTACCATTATTTTTTAATTCATGTTACATTACATTAAATTGTAAGCTTGATACCTTTGCGCAATTAACGAGACATTTATCTCGACGCCTTATGTGTCAATTCTTTAAAATCACAAGTAGTACTGTGCATTTTTTACAAAAATAGGAATGCTCTTCTTTTCATTCCCCAAAATCATAAAGGAGTATACGTGGGATGGTAATTATCTAATTACTGTAAATATGTAATTCGTAATTAACGTAATTAATTATCACTTTCACTCTTCAAAAACGTAATTACGTAATTAATTACGGCGACGAATTAATTACTATTACTATTGTGAAAACTTTCTATGCAAATCGTTGTTAACACTATACATGGGATGGCGATTGCCTAATTACCGTAAGTACGTAATACGTAATTATCGTGATTAATTATATTTTCCTCTTTAAAAACATAATTACGAAATTAATTACCGTATTACGAGTGACGAAACTAATTATGGGCGACGAAACTGATTACGAATAACAACGAATTAATTATTGTAAATATCATAATACAAATCGCTCCCGTTATAACAACACTCTCCGTACAAGTAAAAAAATGTCAGTATGACGAGAAAGTCATTATAACGGGAGCTCATATTAATGACACCTGACGAAATGTTACATGACGAGATGCAATTTACCGCAAAGAGCATAGGTGTCTGTCTATATCTTTGAAATGGATTAGTAGTAATTTGAAACAGTATATTTTTACATTTTTAATTTTCTTAGAATCCCAGTTTCCTACATAAAAAATTTTAAAGGCCTTTTATATATTCCGTAGGATTTACTTTGTTCGGATTTGCTATATATCATAGGAATACCAAACCTCCTTTTTTTTATTATTTTTTCTTTTTTTTGATTTCCATGTTTTTGGCATTAAGCATGATATACCTTCCTTTTTTTATTGAATGATATGAAATTTTTTTTTGTCAAGAAAAAAAAAAAGAAATATGGTAACAATTTTGGAACCTGACCCATTGCAGAACTCTAGCTGGATGTCGACGAAGGATCTGTAAAAACAATATTACAATCATCATAAATTCTATTGGATATAAAATCAAGGTCGAGACACACTGTAATAATAAATAATACAATAATATTAATTAAGTAACTTGTAACAGTTTTTTCTTTGATAAAAACTCCACGTTCAGTTCTTTAATAAACTTACCATCAGGAAGAAGATGATCATTTTTCCTCTGAGCATAAAAATCATTATAACAAACATTCTTATATTTGTTTATGAAAAGTTTAGAAGGTTTTTGAATTTCAGGGCCATTAAATGAGTTGGATGATTTTCCATTAGGAGCATATCCACAATCTACTTTGTGTACCTCTTTTTCCCAATGACTTGATAAATATGCACTTAATGAAGATGCCACCGCTTGGAATATTAAGCCTATGCCCATACCTTTGATCAGAGAAGCACCAGTAGAAGCACCAACTTTTACAACATGTTTACCTGATTCAGTAGCACCTATTTTTAAAATATTCATCAGGAAAACTAATGTTGAGTATTATATGTATAATCATCATATAAATCACATATATTGGTCTATATGCAATTTATTCATATTTTTTTTAATATGTTAAGCATAAGTTATTTTATACAATGATTATATGTATAATATTTACTTATAATACTAGTATTAGATTTATATGTATTTTTCTAAGCAAATTATACATAGGAAAATTACACAACATATTCCATGCAAAATATCATGGAGATTATTTGTATAAAATGATTCTGCATGTGTTTGATGCAGAATATATGTATATTACAATATATGCAATTTATTCATGTATTGTTGTGTTTATTATACTTATGGTGATCTATATGTATAATATATGTAAGTATATGTAGAATATATTATATTGATTCTTGAGCATATATTCTTGGCTGTTTGACATGCAGCATATACACATATTATACATATAGTTCTTGTAAGTTTTTACTTTCAATTGGCATCATTAACAGTTAACAAGGATGGGTAAAGTATACCCTATGCAAATGTGGGTGATCTGTGTATAACAGTTTTTTTTTTCCCTGTTAATTTAGATCACTAATAGATTTTTTTTTGTATTATTTTTTTTTGAATAAAAAATTTAAAAAGCTTCTTTAAATCATATGCCAAATCTATTATTATTATTATTATTATTATTTTAGGTGAGTTTATTTATTTTTATTTTGCACAATCAGATCATGTTATGAGAGAAAAAGTATATAAGTCACTGCTGTTCCTAGGTTGGGGAGGAGTTTAAAATTAATATTTCAAATTTCAAATTTTGCAAATTATTTAAAAAAACCAAATCAAGTCAATTTTGAGGAATTTATTAATGATCTTAGGTTCATTTTGAAGCTACAATTGCACCATCCATTATATTAAAAAGTCACATATTGTTGTTGTGAAGGTTTTAATGTTGATAATTTAGAATAAATTGATGTTCTTGGACTCATTCAAAAGCCAAAGTTCTAACATTCATAATACTCAAAATCACATGTTGTTATAAAGATAAATCATCCATCAATAATTTAAAAGTAGATGTCTAAATTATGAAATTTTTATAATTAGTTATTCAATAACAATTGATTTAATCTCCACCCAAATTCAATTGATTAAAATAAAAACTTCTGTAGTTTTACCTTCTTAACCTACATATTAATATCATGTTTACATATGATTGATCTATAAAAAATTACCTTTGATTTTTTTAAAATCTTTTGTACCCAATTGAATCCAAAAATTCAAAAATTTGCAATTTTATCAATTCTTGAGACAAGTTGATGATCTTAGACTCATTCGAAAGCTAAAGCTCCATAATTCATTATACCAAAAAAATCATTATTGTTGTTATGTAGGCTTTAAAGATCGTAGACAATTTAAAATATCAACAATCTACACCTAAATTACTCACATAATCAATTAATCATTATCATTTGTTTTAATCTTCATCAAAATTCAATTGATTGAAATAAACTTTGTAACCTTACCTCCTTAATCTATATATTATGCTTATACATGATTATCATTCATTGATCTAAAAAAAATTATCTTTGATACTTTTAAACCTTTCTAACTGATCTGAATCCAAAAATTTGAAAATTTGCAATTTTACCAATTCTTAGAATAAGTTGACGATCTTAGATTCATTCGAAAGCTAAACTTCCATCATTCACCACACTAAAAAATCATATATTATTACCATGTCTATTTTAAGATCGCCAAAAATTTAAAACATCAATAATCTATGTTTAAATTATTCATATAATCAATTAATCATTATTATTTGATTTATCTTAACCAAAATTCAATAAAAATTTTTGTGGCCTCACCTTCATAACCTACATGTTATGCTTATAGATGATTGCTGTTCATTGGTGTATAAAAAATAAGTTTGGATTTTTTTTAAATCTATTTGTACTCAAAATTTGAAAATTTGAAAATTTGCAATTCTGCCAATTCTTGGAATAAGTTGACGATCTTAGATTCATTTGAAAGCTAATCTTCCATCATTTATCACACTAAAAAAATTGTATATTATTACCATGTCTATTTTAAAGATCGTCGAGAATTTCAAACATCAATAATCTACACCTAAATTATTCATATAATCAATTATTTGATTTAATTTTAACCAAAATTCAATAAAAATTTTTGTAGCCTCACCTTCATAACCTACATGTTATGCTTATAAATGATTACCATTCATTGGCGTATAAAAAAATAGTACTGGATTTCTTTTAATCTATTTTGTACTCAAAAATTTGAAATTTGAAAATTTGCAATTCTGCCAATCCTTGAGGTAAATTTATGTTCTTAGATTCATCCGAAAGCCAAATTTCCATCATTTATCATATTAAAAAATTGCATGTTTTTATTATTTAAGTTTTAAAGATTGTTTACAATTTAAAATATAGACCTAAATTATAAAATTTTGATTCATATAATTAGTTATTCAATAACAATTGACCCAATCTTCACCCAAATTCAATTGATTGAAATAAAAACCTTTATAATCCTTCTTAATCTACATATTATGCTCATACATGATTATCATTCATTGATCTATAAAATTTTTTTTGATCTTTTGTAGCTGACTTGCATCTAAAAATTTGCATTCTGCCAATCCTTGGAATAAGTTGACGATCTTGAACTCATTTGAAAGCTAAAGTTCTATCATTTGTCATATTAAAAGATTGCATATTGTTATTATATAGACTTTAAAGATCGTCAACAATTTAAAATATCAACTACTCACATTAAAATTCCTTAATTTTGATTAAATTAATAAAATACTTAACCAATTGAAATGAAAATACCACTCTATTAGGATAGTTTCCTGGTATGGTTTATGCTTATGGGTGTTTGCTGAATTATTCTTGTATTTCAGATTTGACTCATATAACAAAAAAAAAATTAATTATTTACTGATTTGTATACTCATTTATCAATGTAGGAGTCCATTTAATCCATTAAATTATTATTACCTTTAGCTTTCTTAGGCATAAACACACCCCATCCATAAGGCTGTTTTTATGATAGTGGTAATAGTTAATCCAAAACCCACTATTCTAGTTGAATTAAAAAGATATTTATTTATTAACGGAATTCGAATTTACTATAACGCAGATCACCAAAAATTTACAACCCTCCCTATTGGCGTGATTAAATATTGATATATTTTGTTTTGTAACACAAAATAATAACAATCTTTAAAAAAAATATATATACGTTAAGAATGTGGAGGGCAATTTACATTGGAATAATAATACAACAGTATTTATCATTGCCATTATCTTTATCATCATTGTTCACCAGTATTAATTAATGAATTATTTAATTAATTTAACTTTTTTATAGCGAGGCAACAAAGATTACATTGTTAGTTATAGAAAAAAATGACCCAGAAAATGATAGAACATACTTAGAAAATATTACATAAGAAGCTTTCCAGAAAGACAAAAACTTGTTTAAAGGATCCAATAAAGCATTTACATGTGTATGAGCTATAATCAATACTTTTTTTGGATTACCTATGTTTGGATGAAAGGATTATCAAATCTTTAATGGAAAATTCACAGTAAAATGAATTTAATATATTATCTATATTTATTTTTATTAATAGAATTGAAATGATGATTGATTTTTATATTTTAAATCATTAATATTTATACAGTAATCATCATTTTACCCCTAACATATATCTTTATTCATGAATACTATGTTAATATCAACATTGGTAAGAAATTTATTACAATTTGAATTTATTTTCTCCAATTATAATTATTTATTTATTATTAACACAAACCTATTTATTTTTTTAACATATATCTTAATGAATATATTAATGTTAATGTTGGTAAGAAATTTATTATGAACAAACTATTTCATTCCATGTCATTCATCTACTAATCATTTATATTCATATTTTCTTTTATTTATATATTAATCTTTTTAACATATACATATATTTTAAGAAATTTGAATTTATTTTCTCCAATTATAACTATTTATTTATTTATTAACACAAAATCATTTCATTTACTTACTAGTGATTTATTTTTTTTTTTCTTTATTTATTTATCTACTATTAACATAAACTATTTTGTTCCATTTCATTCATCTACTAATAATTTATTTTTATTTTTCTTTATTTATTTATCTACTAATCATTTATTTTTTTAACATTTATCTTTAATGAATATATTAATGTCAACATTGGTAAGTAATTTATTACAATTTATAATTAATTAATTATTTATTTATTTATTACTAACAAACTATTTCATTCCATGTCATTCATCTACTAATCATTTGTTTTTTTAACATATACTAATTTCAACATGGCAAGAAATTTATTACAATGAATTGGTTATTTATTTACTACTAACACAAACTATTTATTTATCATTTTATTTTTTAACATATATGATTCTTATTTATATTACTTAATCTTTAAATTATATGTACAATGATCAAACAGCTGTTCATTTAACCCTACAATTGTATGCATTTTTGAAGATTAATTTTCCCAATGCATAAATATTTGTATTTTCAAAAAATTAAATAAAATAAACATAAGGTTTAAATATTTACATTACTATCAGTAAATTTTGAATTATACAATTCTGTGCCTTTTTATTATATGCAATTTATATGTGTGATACTAATTTAATTTATTATACTTATAACATATAAGAACTATATGTATAATACGCAAATCATGACATGGAAGAATATATATATGAGAACTATATGTACAATACTGGATTAGTTCACAGATACTATAGGTGTAATTTATTATACTTATAATACATAAGAATTATCCATATAATGTGCAAATCACATTACGCAAGCATAGTGGAAATTTGAAATGTTATACTAATTTTTTATATTGTGCAACGTAGCTTTACAATACACGGCAAACCTTCTGGCAATAAAAAGTAAGTGATAAACTGGATTTGAATTTGATCCG